GTCCCACACCCCCCACTCCACCCTGGTGATGGTCCCACACCCCCCACTCCACCCTGGTGCTGGTCCCACATCCCCCACTCCACCCTGGTGCTGGTCTCACACCCCCAGCCCACCCTGGTGCTGGTCCCACACCCCCCAGCCCACCCTGGAGGGTGTTTCATGGCCCCCACCCCCTTGCCCGGGGGTCCCTGACGGGTGCCCCCGCAGTGATGATGGGGTCTCTGCTGGCGGCCACCACGGAGGCACCGGGCGAGTTCTTCTACTCGGAGGGGGTGCGGCTGAAGCAGTACCGGGGCATGGGGTCCCTGGACGCCATGGAGCAGGGCCCGGGCAGCCAGAAACGCTACTTCAGGTACCCGGGGGGCGCCCTGGGGGGGGACCCGGCCCCCGCCCGCCCCCCAGCCCTGTGTGACCCCCCCGCAGCGAAGGGGACCCGGTGAAGGTGGCGCAGGGGGTGTCGGGCTCGGTGCAGGACAAGGGCTCCATCCACAAGTTCGTGCCGTACCTGCTGGCCGGGCTCCAGCACGGCTGCCAGGACCTGGGGGCTCGCAGCCTCTCGGTGCTCAGGTGGGTGCAGGGGGGGCCAGGCGGGGGCAGGCGGGGTTATGGGGGGCTCCCCGGCCCCACAGCGACCCCACAGCGACCCCACAGTGACCCCCCCCTGCCCCCCAGGTCCATGATGTACGCGGGGGAGCTGAAGTTCGAGCGCAGGACGTTGGCGGCGCAGGTCGAGGGGGGGGTGCACGGGCTGCACTCGTGAGTGGGGAACGGGGGGGCTTTGGGGGGGTTTGGGGGAGGTTTTGGGGGCTCTGGGGATTTTGGGGGTGCTGGGGGGTTTGGGGGTGAGGGTGTTTGGGGGTCAGTGGGTAACGGCGCCTGTGAGGTGGTTTGGGAGTGCTGGAGGGGACTTGTTGAGGCTGGGGATGGTTGGGGATTTTGAGGGTGCTGGGGTGGGTTTTGGAGAGGCTGGAGATGGTTGGGGGTTCTGGGGGTGTTTTTGGGGGTGCTGGGGTGGGTTTTGGGGAGGCTGGAGATGGTTGGGGGTTCTGGGGGTGTTTTTGGGGGTGCTGGGGTGGATTCTGGGCAGGGCTGTGGGCGGTTGGGGATCCTGGGGGGATTTTGGGGTGCTGGGTGTTGGGGAGAGCTGGGGGAGGTTTGGGCACAAGGCCCCACTTCAGGGGTCCAGGGGGCTCCCAGTTACCCCAGTTTGGGGGCTCCCAGTCACCCAGTGCTGGGGGCAGGGCTTGTGTGGAGGGAGGGGCTTCCTTGGGGCCCTTGATGATTGGCCAACTTGGGGGGCGCTGCGATTGGCTGGTTGAGGTGCTGCTGGACTGTGATTGGCTCACCAAGGCACTGGTGGGCTGTGATTGGCTGGTGGAGGTGCAGGTTGTCTGTGATTGACTGGCTGAGGTGCTGATTGGTTGGCTGGGGTGGTGGTTGGCTGTGATTGGTTGGCCATGTTGGTGATTGGCTGCGATTGGTCAACTGCTTGAGCTGCTGATTGGTTAATTGTTGGTTGGCTGCTTAGCTGACCAGGACACTGATTGGTTGGCTGGTGGCTGGCCAAGATGCTGATTGGCTGGTTGAAGTGCTGGTTGGCTGTCATTGGTCGGCTGGTTGGTTGGCCAGGGCTCTGATTGGCTGGACACGGGGTGAGCAGGGCTCTGATTGGCCAGGAGCTGCCAGCCCAGTCTGGGACTGGGACTGGGGGCAGTGGGACCATCCCAGGGTTGGGTGGGGTTGGGTGGGGTCAGGAGGGCACAGGTGACCCCGGGGCCAGGAGCTCTGGGATCAGGGTGGGGTTTGAGGGGTCCCCACGCAGGGTGGGGGTCTGGGGGGGCTCCTGTGCCGGGGAGGGGTCAGGGTGGAGGTGCCTGTGCTGGGGTGTCCGGGGTGCCCCCCATAATCCCCCCCCTCTCTCCCCCCACGCCGCAGCTTCACGGTCCTGCCATGTAAGTACCTGCTCACCTCCCCCGGTCTGGGGGGCCTCTTGTTAGGGGGTCCCCCCTCTATCCCCCCGGATGGACCTGGGGGTTTGGGGGGCAGGGGTGGCACCCCCAGTCCCCTGACTGGGATCTGATGTGGTACCGGTGGGGGTGGGGGGCAGGGGGTTTGTGGGTTCCCCCAAGGGGGGATTTGAGGGTGCCACACCCCCCAGGTGAGGGTTGGGGTTTCCCCCCAGGTGATGTTGGGGGGTCCCCGCCTCTGACCCCCCTGTGCCCCCCCAGTGACGAGAGGCGGCTGCACTGAGGAGGGGCCCCCCCGGGCCGGCGCCCCCCGCCCAGAGCCCGCGGGGACCCCCCCGGCCCCCCGACACCGTCGCTGCTAATGCTGCACCAGGACCCCCGAAATGGAGGGGCCCTGAACCCCCCCGCCCCGAGCACAGGGGGGTGTGGGGACCCACAAACCCTCCTGGAATTGGGGGTGCGGGGAACCCCCAAAACCCCCACGGGGCACCACAGGGGGTGTGGGGGACCCCCCGAGCCCTTGGAAATGGGGGTGCAGGGATCCCGAAAACCCCCCTGGGCACCACGAGGCTGCAGGGACCCCACAAACTCCTCTGGAAATGGAGGTTCAGGGACCCCACAAAATCCCCCAGGAATGGGGTGCGGGGACCACCCCAAGCCCCCTGGGGGTCTCCCCCAAACCCTCCCTGGCACTGCAGAGACTGGGGAGGGGGGTGTCCCTCTGTCCCCCCAGAGCGGGGATGGGGGGACCCCCCGAGCACCAAGGGGACCCCTCAAGCACCAAGGGGATGCCCCAGCACCAAGGGGACCTCCCAGCATCCGGGGGGGACCCCACAGCACCCCAGGGACCCCAAAAAGGCCTGTGGCCCCCCCCCAGTGCGGGGGGACCCCCGACTCGCTGTATCCAGGGGTCAATAAAGTCACGGAGCATCGGAGCCTCTTGGGGTGGCCCTGGGCCTGCTCTGACCCTGCCCCTGGTCCTGTCAGTGCCCCCTGCCCCTGTCCCCGTCCCTGCCCCTGCCCCTGTCCCCGTCCCTGCCCCTGGTCCTGTCACTGTCCTGGCCCTGCCCCTGTCCCTGGTCCTGTCTTTGTCCCCATCCCTGTCCATGGTCCTGCCCTTGTCCTTATGCCTATCCCTGGACTGGCCCTGTCCCCGTCCCTCCCCCGGCCTTGTCCGTGCCCGCTGTCCGTGGCCGCTGTCCGTGCCCACTGTCCGTGCCCACTGTCCGTGCCCGCTGTCCGTGCCCGCTGTCCCATCCCTGTGCCCTCCCTGTCCCTGCTGGTGGCACAGGACGCGCACGTGTGACGAGGGATGTCACACACACGGCACGGGGTGACACACGTGCACATGTGCCAGAGGTTGGCACACACATGTGGCACACATGGCACGGCTCGGCACGGCCCGGGGACAGCCCCGTCACCCTGGGCACAGCCGGGCGGGGGCCGCACACCCGGGCACGCGTTTGCACCCCACGGTGTCCCCCCCACGTCCCCTCCGTGTCCCCCCCCCGGGCTCTGTGGGGGACCCCAGGGCTCGAGTGGCACCGGTGGGGTGCAGGTGGGACCCCAAATGCGGGACCACCCAGATGTGGGACCCCCCCAAATACGGGACACCAAATGTGACTTCCCCAGAAGTGAGACCCTGCCTAATGTGGGACCCCCAAAACGGGAGACATCCCCCCAGTGTAGGAGAAGCCCAAATATGAGACCCCCCAAAAGGGGGTCACCCCTCAAGATGTGGGACACCCCCAGATGTGGCTCATCCCCCCAAGTGTGGGGCCCCACTCAAATGTTGGACACCCGCCCCCAAATTTGGGAGACACCCCCCCAAATGCAGGATATTCCACTCTCCAAATGTGGGGTCCCCCCTCCCCAAATATCAGATACCCCCGAGGGTGAGACCCCCTCCCAAACGTGGGACATTCACCCCCCCATGTAGGAAACCCCCTAAGTGTGGGACCCCCCAAATATGGACCTCCTCGAAATGTGAGACCCCCCAAATAGGGGACCCCAAATATGAGAC